CATTGGACATTGCTACAGCTTATAATCATTCATTGGCAACTACTAAATTAGCCCAATCTCACAAGTTTTCCATCCCCTAGTTTTACAGTATATTCCCCTAAATGATACCAATACCTATCTACACGTTTTGAACCCAATTCTCAAACACTTGCAAAACCGTCTAACCAACAACTGTGTTGTGAAGTTAAATATAGAGTTCCAACAACTGTGAGAAGAATTGTGATATTACATACTTTTACGCAAATTTAAAATACACCCTCAAATTTCAAATACTTTTACTCAAAATTTTAAAAATGATTGAATCTAAGTGTTGATTTACACATGGAAAGGGCCTCTTCATGCTATATTAATCCATTGAGAGCATTCCGTTCAAAATAAGTAAATTATTAAATGCATGTAATACACTAAGATTCCAAATCAAGAATAAACAAGGTTATGAGGAATTGAACCAAACTGTAAAAACCACCAAACTTTCAAGGGGCAATGTGTAAATTAACATAATAATATTACCTCTACCGGTAGAAGAGGCACTGGAGAAGCTGGCGGCTGATGGTCAGGAGAGGCGCCGAAGGAGGTGGCGGTAGGCAGGCTAAGCGTTGGAGGAGGTAGCAGTGACTGTAAGTCAAAGATCTACTGGAGGAGGTGCCGAGGGTCAGGCGAAGAACCACTGGACGGAGGAGACAGCGACGAATAGGCGTCGGACCGATTGGGGGCAGATCGGGGTTAGGGATCCAACTATGGGGATTTTCCCCTTGGTTAGGGCTCAACGACGAGATGGAGACAGAGTTCGGCCACAATGTGGATTTCCCCCTAGATTAGGGGTCAGTGACGAGACGGAGACGGAGTTCGGCCACAATGGGGATTTTCCCCTCGGTTATGGCTCAACGACAAGACGGAGACAAAGACGGATAAGAGGGATTGCTGAGAGATGAGAATAGGAAAGAAGATGTCACGCCCCGCTTCCCAAAATACCCGGGAATCGGAACGCGAACAAGCCCGCGACGTATTAGATTAAGGAGAATAAATAAAATAATCATTTCTCCTCAACCTAATACGCTAAGCGTCTGGAAATAAAACAATGTGAAGTCACAGGTCCCCAATCACAGATAGCGAGAATATAATGAACAACACAGAATAAAATGATACATATCATAAATGAATATCATCCAAGACATAAAATTCGGGTCAAACATACCCTTATACAAAAACTATCTGAATGAAATACTGGAGAATATAAAAATACAATGATCAAAAGGAAATGAAGGTGCTACAAAACAAACTGAAAGGAATGACTAAACTTCGGCTTCTTCTTCTGCTACGTCTGCAAGGTACTCATGCTGAGAATCCTCTGGCTCCTGGCGATCTCCAAAAGCTGGAACTGTTCTTCCTCTAAGTCTGACGTACATCAGAGAAAACAGGTATACGTCAGCGTGCATGACGCACTGCAAGACTCCACAAAAGAAAATAGAACGAATGAAAATCCAAACGGAAAACGATACAATAACAGAAACAACAAAAGAACGTACAACTGAAATCCACAAATCAACATGAAAACACTACTAAATCATGATAACATAAAGCATCCAAAATCGATCAGGTAACGAGATCATGTAGCTAGCGATCAGTCTAATCATCCAAGTAACAGGGGTATACAATAGATGGAATTAATACCTAAAAATCTACAATAAGAGACGTAGTACGTCGAGTGAAATAATCCAAACAAGGAAACCCTCATGTATATGTCATATGTCTCAAATTGTAGATAATTAAATATTAATCCCGATCTATGTATGAAAAGAAACATAACTGTCCTACATCTCACAATAATCCATACCTAGCCAAGCAACGAGGTCATGTAACTAGCCATCCTAAAACTCACTGGTCCACATCTCACATAAAGTCAACATTCATATCACCGGATAACTGACTGTTCACAAATCATCTACGTGCATCCAATACCGCTACACGAATCAGTCAGAGGACTACACGCAATCCGATCTCGGCCTGGTTCGAACTCAGGTAAAGCTCAGGTGACGAAACAGGTCACGGACTAAAGTGACTACATGAATTCACTTTAACCCAACAAACCAACCCCAGTGACTACACGAATTCACCGGCACGGGTTGGAAGATACATCAACAGTCACATCCAAGCACATGAACATTAACTTCCCTATCCCAACACTTCTCGTTTTCTAAGTCAACCATAATCCTCATTGAAACTCGGTTTCACCACCTAAACTCAGTCAACACACCTACACATGTCACTAGGTCTGTTCATGACGCATGAGGCCATTAAGTCATGAACTACTAAGGGTTCTCAAACACAATCAGGAACAATCAATGCAACTAATCATGTGCAATAATATCATAGCATATCAGATAATCAATATTAAGAATTATAAATCATAAACAGAGTCTACATAATTTAGAAATATTTCCTTTTCCAAAATAATTTCTTTTAAAATTATCATAATTTTCCTCAAATGATTCTGTTCTTAAATAATTTTTTTAATTAATATAATTATCCAGAAACGATTCCGCTACCAAAATAAATTCTTTTAATTCATATAATTATTCTAAAATAATATTTTCTCAAAATAGTTGAACAATTTAAAATAACCCATTTTTCCAAAATAAATTATTTTAAATCATCTATTTTAATAATTATTCAAAACCAACTCATTTTTCAAATAATCTCTTTTCTCATCATAATAATTCTAAAACATCTCAAAATAACCACTTTTACATAAAATAATTATTCCTTTAAATTACTTATCCTAATATCATTATTAATATCAACCATCAACAAACCTACGCAGTTATCAAAATCTTCATACTGTAGCATAATCAAATCTAATCGAAGCATTAATTCATAATATATCTAAAAATTGGAAATACGAGTCAACAGTAAAAGGGATCTTGCCTCGGGTACGAACGAGTGGACTACGGATCCAAAGACACTGTTGGGCGCTCGAGGCAACGCGATCGTCGATGGTGGTCGACGTTGATGGCGAATAAGGGGAGGCATCGAGCTTAGGCAACGTGGGAACGAACGGAGACTGTCGGAGGGTTGCGGCGGATTAAGGGGTTCGACGGAGTTGGGTAAACGGGTAGGGTTTGAGGCAAGGGAATATATTCGGTTGGTTCGGGTCGGTTCGGTTTGAAAAATTGTCAACCCGACCCGAACCGTCTTACTCATAAAACCGCTTTTTTCGGGTCGGTTCGGGTCGGTTCGGTCAGTTTTTTCGGTTTGAACCGAACCGTGCTCACCCCTAGAGAACCTATATATAGGTTAGGTTAGGTTAGGTTAGGGTTAAAATACTAAACATAAAAGAAATTAATTAAGGATCAAATTGAATAATTAGTGAAAATTAATTAAAATAAAATAATTATGGGTATTTAAAAATTAAACTAATCACGGAATAATTATCTACAAATAAAAATGTACATGTTGTGCTAATACAACAGTTGATACGAAATAGTCGAAATATACTCATATTGTACAATTAAACATGAATAATTAATAAATAAAATATATTTACTTATATTTAAAATCAAACAATTATGGGATAATTATATACACAGTAAAACGTACAAGTTATACTAATACGACAGATAATATGTAACAGTAGAAATAATATAGCAAATTATACAAATAATACGTAATTAATAATACAACGTATTATACATAAATATACGTAATAATAAAAATAATACAACGTATTATTCAAAATGACATGTAACAACATAGATAACTCAACAGATAAATTCCATAAACTTTCACCGCATAAAATTAATTTATAAATATTAATATCATTTAAATAAATATAAAACTTAGACTTTAAATCATAGAAAATTATAGAAATTTAAGAAAAATACAAATACTCTTTTAAAAATAATAACTAAATATTTTAAAATACTAAAAAATTATTTTAACTAGTATCAAAATTCATGGTCCTTACAGAAGAGGAGGGATTTTTCTCAGTTAGGGTTAAGAGAGAAGACGAAGAAGAAAGAGGAAGAAGAGGAGGGATTACTCTTTTGGTTTAGGGGGCGGTTATGGCTAAGACATGAGAAGGGGGCAGAAGAGGAGAGAGAAATAGAGGGTTAAGTGGGGATATTGAAAGGGGTGTTTTTGTGGTTTTTACCATGTTTATGTATAAGTACAAGATGCTCTACCTACTGTATTTTGGAAGTTGGATTTAAAGATAAATATAAAAAGATGAGAGAATCTTAGGCCCACAAAATCCAATTTTTTCAATGTGCCCCCCCCCCTCCCCCAACTTTCAACAAGTGCTGTAGCCCTTTTGATGGAAAAAAATGTATTCTCCAGGCCCTATCCTCAAGTTCCAAATGCAATACCTCTTTCAAATTCCAATTTATACCTCCCTCGCCCTACCACCCCGCCTCCTCCTCCGTATGTTCCTGCCTCTTCTCCCGGACCCTTGCCTCCCTTCCCCCGCTCGGCTCCCACTCCTCCCCTCCCCCGCCTCCCTCCCCCGCTTGCCCCCCCTTACACCTCCTCCTCCTCCTCTGTTCCTCCTCTGCCGCCTCGTCCCCCGCCCCTGGCCTCCCTCCCCAGGACTCTCGCCGCCCTCCTCCCGTCCGCATGGTAGCGCACTTCCCAAGCCGTCGCGCCCTCCCTCCCCGCCTGCACCCTCCCCCTTACACCTCCCTCCTCCTCCTCCCTCCTCCTCCTCTGTTTCCTCCTCTGCCCTCGCCCGCCCCCTGCCTCCCTTCCCGCCTCCGCCGCCCTCCCCGCGCTCACGCCGTAGCGCCTTCCAAGGTCCGCCGCCTCCCTCCCCGCCCGGCCTCCCTCCCCTCCCCGCGCTGCACCTCCCCCTACACCTCCCCTCCTCTCCTTCGGTCCCCCTCTGCCCCCTCCCCCGCTCCGCCGTAGCGCCTTCCAAGCGTCGCCCGCCTTCCCTCCGACCCGCGGCTCGCCTCCGCTCCCTCCCGCTGCACCATCCCCGCCTACACCCCTCCTCTCCCTCCCATCCTTCGGTCCCCCGTCTGCCCCTCCCCAGCTCTGTTGCCGACATCGTCCCGAGATGTTAACTCTTAGGGTTAACATGTTTGGTTATTATAATAACATGTTAACTCTTAGGGTTAACATGTTAACTCTTAGGGTTAACATGTTAACTCTTACGGTTAACATGTTAACTCTTAATAGTTAACATGTTATCTGTAAGAGTTAACATGTTAACCCTAAGAGTTAACATCCGCTGGAATGAGAAAGAGGAGGAGAAAATTGGGATTTAAGCCAGCTGGCATGTCTAATCATCTGCTAGCATAAGTTGGAATCATGATGGAGGGGCTTGGACACATTTTTTCAAAAACAAGGGGCTGCAGCACATTTAAAAAAAATATGGGAGGCTGGAGCACATTGAAAGTTGGATTTTGAGGCCTAGAAGTAATTTTTCCAAAAGATAATTGGGTTTAAATACAAGCAATATTCGTTGGGTTAACAATTGGGCATAGAAATAAAAACCCCTAATTTTAGGGCTTGTTTAGATTGAAGGGAATGAGGGTGAAGGGAAGTTAGGGGAACCATTCACCTCCATTCACCTTGTTTGGGAACACTTAGGAGGTGAAGTTAATTCACCCTAGTTCCCCTTGGTTCACCCCCTAATAGTATAAAAATTGTTACCCCAAATTGGGGTGTAACTAAGGAGAAGGGAATTCCTTTCCCTTCCCTTCCCTTCCCTTCACTCAGTTTCCCTTAACTTCCCTTCACCCCCTACAAATCCTCCTTCACCCCCCTACAAATCCAAACAGGCCCTTAAATTACGCATAAAAAAAAATAGGGCATCTTTTGCACGCTACGATGCTATCTTTGGTCGGTGGGAGCTCCGTTCTCTTCAGGGTTCCAATTGCGATGGGGTCATCGACCAAGTTGTGGTCGAAATGTTCCTCTTCCGTTGCTCGTTGCTCTACTCTTGAACCCCCTGATGTCGCCAAACTCGCTGAAACCGCCCGCATTAATCTCGCCCCCAGAGAGGTATGTGTTATGCGTCTGATAATCCTTTGAATTTATGTGGGTTCCTAGTGTAGACTCCTTGGATGTTGATGCGCGTTTCTGTCTTTGTTGTAGGTTGAGGATTTCGCACCAAAAATCAATCAAGTAATTGACTGGTAAATAACGCAACTCAGTTGTAGTTGGGGATTTTTATGAGGTTGCGAACTGTTTTATCTTTTTGTTGCTCTCTGCTGATCATTAAATTTGTTCTTTAAAAAGAGGATGGAAATATATTCTACACCAATATTCTATGATTCGTTGTACTGTTGATTTGCTTTCAATACTAGTCCTCTCTTTATAACTCAATTTTAGTCTTTGATTTATTCATTTCTTCCATGCTGTGTATCCAATTGGTGTAAAGCCAGTTTCACGACTATGATGTCAGTTACAAGTCGAACAATCATATTTACTTCAAAATATCGAAATGTGAGGTCTTTTTTTTAGCAGAAGTGCCTGATTTTTCTTCACTCTTTCTCGATCTGTATTTCAAGTAAATGTCATAAGTGTCATGAAATCAGTCCTTCTTGTTAGCACGGGGACTAATTTCAAAACACTTATAAGATTTGGAGGACTAATTTCAAAACACTTAGATTTGTGGACTAATTTCAAAATATGAAGATTTGGGGGACTAAAAATATGGAAGATTTGAGGGACTAATATTGGAAAACCCTAATAAATAAGATATACATATATCTCATACATGTAGCTTAGTTTATTCTGACTTGGATCTATACTTTGCATATTTGCTTCTTATTTATTAATCATGACATGAACGTATCTATTTGTAAATTATTATACCACTATATACTATGTGCTCATAGTACTTGTATATTTTAAAATTACAATATACTTAACTTACAAGGCTTATACCTTGCAATTTGAAACTTATGCCTCGCTTTATAATAAGGCCTAATGCTTCACCTTGCGCTTCCACTTTTTCGAACATTGATTTAGGTGCTTGAAGCTAGAAATACAATCACTTTGACAATTCGTTTTGTGAGTACTAGATTGGATAGATTAATATCAGATTATCAGTGTTTCATCTATTGAATCTTTAGTGTTTCTACTTCATGTTATTTTCCAGTGGACCTTGTTTGTTTGTTTGTTTTCTTTTTATTATTTTGGATGGGGGTGTGTGTTTTGTGCGTGCGTTTCATGGTGTGTGTGTGTGTGTGTGGGGGGGGGGGGGGGGTCCTTGTTGGTTTGTCAAAAATACCCAAAAAAAAAAGTGAGTATTCAGAATCTGTGGTCCATAACTGTAACTAACCTTGATAGCTTACATTGTAAGTTGAATATTGTTGTTAATTTCCTTTTCCTGTGACATCTTGAATGTAGTCTGATTATTCTGCATTGCTTTTCTCTTTCTTTTTTGTTTCTCTATAATCTAACAGGTTTGGACAACTTCAAGCCGTTGACCTTCAGAGCATAGAACCTTCACTTCGATCTGGTATGCTTAAACAAATCAATAGATTAATTGATGTGACTATAGAAGAATAGTGACATTTTTGATGGTTCCATTTGCTAATGTAGTTTGTCAATCTTACTGCTCTGTTCCTAAGGTACCCTTGCAGATGAGGTTTCAGTGTTTCGCCTTTGTTCTAATCGTGGTATGCAAGAAATATGCAAATATTTGGAGTTGTTGAAACAATTGGCAACTAGGTGTGCAATGGGTCCAACAGAAACTAATTTAAACTGAACTGTCTGACTGTCAGAAGAAAGATAAATCATAATTAACTTAAACTGACACTAAACATTGTTGGCATGACAAAGTGATTTCGTTTTGTGGTACAGCTGGGGTTTAATTGTGAGAATATGTATAGTCGAAAAGCACATGGTCAACTAGGTTTTCATGAAAGAAAAGAGGGATATGGAGAGGCTGATAATTGGGAATGAGAGAGAAAGGGAGACTAGGTTTGGTCCTACTGGAAAGAGAGCGTGAGAGGACTGGATAATCTCATACTTCACTGTAACAAGGCTGGAACGTGCACCTTTATACTAATGCAACATGCAACAGAAACATATTATGATTTGATTTGGTCAGGTTGCCTGAAAGATTAAGCTGAACCCAATCCGGAAAAATTCAGGTTGGATTATCTCAACCAACCCAACCAAATGTACATCTTGCATGTCAGTATAAAGTATCAGGCTGGTCATGAACCAGATATTGGCAGGCAGGGATACTTACAAACTGTTGAGAGGACATTTCTCCAATACAATATTTAGATAGAAATATTGTTCAAAATGAACTAATAGAATATTTTGTTTTCAAAAGGATACAGAATTTTGGATCTCAATGTATCAATACTAGTGTAAAAATTCTAACAGAAGATACAAAATTGGCCCCTCGTAAATTTCAGGAGCCTCTAGCTTGAGCCTTTCTTGCATGAAAACAGTTGCACAGTTCATTGATATCACATAGTTTAACGGTGTATGAGACATTTTTCCAAAATTTTAGAAGACGTGTCCAAAGCAATAATTTTGTTGATCAGTAACTTCCTTTTGCACTTCCATATCATGCTTCGCATATAATTCTCTCTTTAAGATTATTAAAATTGATCACACACACAGCTAGAAATAAGCTGTATGTATGATATCTTCCAAGCATCTGAGTTTCCCAAAAAGAGACTGCAAGTACCAGCATCGTGACTCTGAGCTTCCTAATGTCTTTGATGCTGCACCAAATCTCTAGAATGATGGTGAGAGAGATGAAATTACTTTGAAAACTCCCCTGATTTGAGAAAATTTTCTTGTAGATTATTCTTGTTTAAAACACGACTGCAGCTAGAAATAAGCTGCTACCAAAGCAAGTATATGTACTGATGTGAGACCACTATGAGTTGGTGGCATAGCAATCTAACCATGATAAAGCAAATGGTAGGCCACTCTTTTTTGGCCATATAGTTTAGGCTTATGCAATGGAGGAAAATGCCTCAAATTCTAGATAGCAGCAAAGGATCTAGACACAGCTGCAAGGTTATCTGCTTGTATTACAGTGAATAACATTTATTCCTGAGGTTGAAGTGAGTGAATGAGCCAAATGGAATCACATTCCCAAGTTCAGTTCCATATAAAGACGGAGGGCATGGAAAATAAAATCCCAACAAGGAGTTCGATAAGTTTGAGTTCCAAAATCTTATATTTCACATATAGAAGTCTGATTAGGAGCTGAAATATGAATATATGTATTTAGCCATATACAGTTTCTATTTTTCTTTCATATGTCAATATTGGTCAGATCCCAGTCTAACAAATGGACGTCTCTGTCTACAGATACCGAACTTAGTACAAACCCGAGGGAGGATATTCCAGAACCATTCACAAACAGGCAATGACCGTGAAACTTATGTCGAAGTTATGCTACTTCTGCTATCTGCTATTAATGCACGGGCCCTCTTGAAAATTAATGTCAGGTTTTTGTGATTACAGGGAAGCAATTTTGGCAGAGATACCAAGCTTTTCTGACCCTTATATTAAAGTCCCTAAAGTCCTGAACAAGGAGTGAGCTGGCAGTTCTGGTGTTCAAATGAATTCAGTTATTTGTAACACTGAACTTCCTGGTCATTTTTATAATCCTCTGCATGAGCTTCGTTATTATATTCTGTTCAACTTATCATTCGTTTGAGCATTTGATAAATCCAGATCAATCTCTTTTCCAACAGTTCTATCTTCGCTATTTAAACGTTAATTCTGAAAATAGACGACTGCTATGAGATTAAATTTCCGTTGCTCAACCTATGCTGGATGAAAAACTTGAAAAGGGTTTTTATCTGCTTGATTATGTAAACATCGTTCCATTATTGAGCAGTGTGGATGTAGTACTGTTGAATCTAAGAACTGCAGTTCTATTGATTGTTGAGGCTTTCCCAAGAGATGACTTCTGCTTTTTTATTTCCTGTTCTGTAATTTGTTGTCAAGCCTTAGAGCTTCATAAGGTGGATGGTCTAGCGTTGAAGAGTTATAGGGAGTCAGTTTTTACCTCCGAGAAGGTATTTTGTTCCTTTGGCGAAGCTAATGTGGAAGTCTACATACAAAACACAATAGCTTTGATGCTTGCTCTTTTCTAGCCTTACTTAAAAGGGTAACTGACTCTTGTCCACTAGACAACTGGCGGTACAATGGTCGGACGGAGAATCTCTGGATCAACACAAAAATTGAGATCAGTGTACTGATCCTAGGATGTCAATTGCTGATACACCAATTCGTACGCCCAAGTTGTTTGAACTCGGATGACGTTATTTGTTTTTCCTCGATGTAGTGTAGGATTTAGTCTTTTTCAGTTGAACTGAGGGGTAGAAGGTAACATGTTGTTACTTTATTGCATAGTTCGCGTGCGGTTGTCTCAATCGAACAAAAGAAACATCTATTAGGAGGAAGTGCTGATTACATTCTCATACTACAGAAGGGATAAACGTCATTGCCCTTTTCTTCTGTGGGCTATATGAGGAGAACGGTGAACAGTCTACCTGAAAGTTCTCAGGCAACTTTTTTTGTGTTGGTTTAGGTATGTTGCGAGGCACAACACGAGATAAGCTGGATCCTGATTCTAATGACCAAGCCATTATACTATTGAAAAAGAGCTGAAATCACCTATCCAACTGTGAAGAGGAATCTCCAATCATTACGCTACATCAATGATTACAGCACATAGTGGAGAAAATTTCACATGATTCCTGTTTTCTATAGAAAACGTAGCATCTAAGCGAGACCTACTTCTGTTGATTGATCATCATGCGAAAAAAATTCCATGAAGCCGTCTATACAAGGTGAACATGTTACTATAAGCCCGTTAACGGTTTTGAATCAGTAATAACCAGTAAGCATTGGATTTGACAAGCATTGTATGCTGGAACATGTGTGATGGTCTCCTTCGTCTTTAAAATGGAGATCACTTTATGACTTTCTATAGGTATGATTTTCTCAGTAACTTTTTTTTTTCTTTTTTCCATTGACATCATTGCATTCATCCTTCATCTTTCATCCTCTCCAGCTCTAAGAGAGGGGAAGGGCAAAGATAACTGGAGAGCCAGATATCAGTTCAGGGCTAGGGTCCATGTGAAGAACATGCATGTGAATACTTTTGAGGGAATAGACTTCTGGGAAGTTTTGTGTCACAAGAGTTGATTCTGTTCTTAGAATTTAATAATAAATGGTGTGTCAAAATCAAATGAGCACAAAAATGAATGCTGTCCACTTTTGTTCTGGTGCATTTAAGAGGTTTGGGTTTGAAGCTTTGTAGGTAGCTTCTATTTGGGGATAAATATCCTTTAACTTTGGATGATTATCGGAAAACCTCTCTTTAACTTTCAAAATAACAGAACCCCTAGGATTATCACAAAACACCCTTTTCGCTTTTAGATTTTATCAAAATACCCCATTTAATTATGTGAGTTTATAAGAAACACCCCAAATTAGGGGAGTTTATGATGAAATCTCTAAGTTAAAGGAATTTTCCGGATAACCCCTAAACTTAAGGGGGTTTTTTGTTGATATTTTGAAAGTTAAAGGGGTTTTTCTAATAATGGTCCAAAGTTAGGGGTTTTTTATGATATTTAACCCTTGCATTTGAGTTAATCTTGTTCTACAAGTGAGCTTGACCAATGTGGCTAGACAATAACGAGGTTATGGGTTGGACTCTTTAGGAAATTCTCTCTTTTTTTGCCACATGAGTTTTGTTTCTTCAGCCTGAAAGTTAGACTTGTATTAAGGTTCTATTTTGGTGGTTGCAGCTGTAATTGCAATAAAAATAACAATTACATATATTTAGTGGCGGATCTAGAAAATTTCTATTGGGGCGGTCGAGGAGTGTCTATTTACCGGAAAATAAAAATATAATATTATAAAACTATAGTATCTCATGTGAATGTACTTAGTACACTTTATTGTGGGAATTATAAATAGGTTTTTACTTTCCAATTAGCTACTTCTAATTATTATTAATTTTTTAGTGTTTTTTAGATAGTTTGTGGGCATTAGGTGCAATTTTAAAATTTATATGGGGGCGGATGTAAAAATTACATGACTTAGCATGCAGTTTTGTGAAAGTTTAGGGATACAACTGCACCCTCTTGCTAGGCTATGGATGCGCCATTGATTGTATATATTTGCACGTAGTTGTAGTTTCTTAATTCAGTTTTGAATTATGATT